ATATCTAAAGGCCACAGATGGCTCTGGGGGACTGAGATTTAAACAGACGAACATGCATGCTCCCTCCCTTCCTCTCCGTCCAAGTAGCAGGAAGGAGACAGGCAGTCTGGCGATGACCTCCACGCAGGCGAAAGCGGTCTCACGATGCTAACAAAACTCGTGGTGCTGGTGGGGAAGCCCTGGTAGGGTCCAGCTACACAGTCCAAAATACAGCAGCGCTAATAACTGATATTTGGGTTTGTAGGCCAAGGCCTCGCTATAATACAAGGATGCGCTTAAAGAGAAGAGATTGATCACAATGATTGGATTTAAGGGTAAAACATTCTGAAAGCTTGTGTGCGGTGTGTTCTCCTCCTCACCCCGATCTTTCAGGTAGGTTGCTGTAAATTTGGCCTTGAGCACATGACAGGTGAATAGTGTGATAGCTGGTAAATCTGGCCTTCGCTGTTAAATTACAGTGTAGATACAGCTGTTGTCCTGGTCGCCAGGTGTGCAGCACCGATGGCTGCCCTGGGCTGGCCCAAGGACCCATCTCTTGCCTTGGACCTCCAGCCTGCCTTGTTCCCAACTGGGATTTGGTTTTTCCTACCTGGGCCGGTTCACGGCCCTAGGTGTGAACACCAGTTTTTGAATCAAGCCCTGATACTCCTTTTCCTCTGAGAACGGCAGAAGTCATGCAACAGCTTCTCTAAGCATAGCTGGAGCATTTAGAATAGCTGCTTATTTGAGGAGGCAATACGTTTACATATAGCAAGTGAAATGTGCTATAAGCATGTCCAGTTTTTTCTAAAATTCTTGGTTTTTCGGATCTGGGAAGGTCCAGTGACTTTGTACATCCTTACAGTCTTTCTCCCTCTCTCTGAGCCTGTCTCCTTAGGCTGTGACATGGAATTTTCCAGAAAAAGGCTTTGCAATTTTCTATCATTTTCTTTCTTTCTTTCTTTTTTTTTTAATCCAGCCTGGCCCACAATACCTGTACCTTTCTTAAAGGTGACCTTTTTTAAAGCTAATACTTAGCTCTCAAAACATCATGCGTATGGCTTGTGTACATCCATCTCTTGAGATATTATTTTCCTATTTGCTCTTGTTATTGTCAGCTATTGAGTTAAATCTATGTATTCACATGGGGAAATCAACCTCGGGAGTCCACTAGAACTACTCAGTGATTTTGCCTGCCTTCATTTGAACTATAACTGAACCTCAATATTTTTAGATTACTGCATACAACATCACATCTGTCACATTCACTTGGAGGCTACAGATGAGGGTTACTGCCTCCTGAGCCAAACAATACACAGCTAAGCATAATATAAATTGAACTCCACTTAGGTTTGATCTGGAGGTCATTTATCTGGTGCATCTAAATGGCAAATTGAAAGTGGAAGGACTTGGAAAATACCTGAGAGCATTTAATTATCACCTCCTTTTATTTTTAAAATGGCCTTCAATTTATCTTGCAGTGAGGGAAGTTATCTTCCTACCTAACTCTATTCAGGACCAGCCTTGCTTTATTCCACTGAAGCTTCTCCTAACCAGCAGAAAAGGTTAGGGTTTTCTTCCCCTAATCTCAAGCCTGTGTGCAGCTTTTGCGTGAAGTGCAGGCTAGCATGAGAGGAGACCAAATGCCTCTTTATTTTTTCTCACTGTGTTGATAACGAGAAGGATACAACCTTTTCTGGCTTGATAAACTTTCTGAAATGTTTCTTTTGTGTCGCTTCCTAGAAGAGAGTTTTACCTCCTGACTAAGGAGCTCTAAACTCCAGTTCAGAGAGAAAGAGCTTAATAAAGGAGTGACAGCCGAGGAATTCAAACCAGTAAGGGGTTAATTGATTAAACCAAATGCTACATCCCAAACACCTGATATATCTTCTCATCCCACCCTCCAACTTCCCACTCAGTCCAAGCCTCTTGAGCATCCCTGGGGCGTATTGAAGGTCTGATGGGTAAAAGCAGTAGCAGCATGAATCGTGCTGTCACCTCGTCCCTACTTCCCTGTGTAAGCCGCCTCGTTCTTGAAATGCAGAGCTTGTCCTAGCTGGGACTCTCGGAGGGATGGTGGGAAATGGTGGGAAGCTAAGGAATGGGCTAGTCCTATGTACGTTGTATTGAAAGGATGCAATTTTATGGGAGCTAAATGCATTTTCTGAGCAGTCCTATAAAAGTAACATAGAACACTTCTTTGGCTTTTTTGTTTTTTAGTCTGTCCTCAGTGCTAGAGCATTGGTGTAAGGCTCCTCACTTTTAGGTGCTCATCTGGCACCAGGTAATGTCTGAGTGCTTTATGATCAGGGATGCATTTCAAAGGTGGAGTGGGGAGGCATTGAGAGGTACCTAGACAGAGCAACTAGGGTGCGTATCTTCACAGACCTGCACATCCTAAAACTGAACGTGGACGCGTGGCTCCTGGAGCAGAGTCCCCAGCTCTGGGCGAAATGCTGAAGGTCTCTCTGTAATGCACCTGACCAGAGGGCTTGTAGCAGCTGGTGCACTGAATGGGGAAGTGCCTAGGACGGCCCATGTATCTAATCCCAAAGTTACCCAGTGAGAGGGTAGCTTGTTAAGCTTTGGACAATTAACTTTCACCTTGGGGGTCTGCAGATTTTTCTAAAGACCTTATAAAAGAGCAAAGCTTTTTGTCAGTGAAATTAGACTCGCTATTCAGAGGCTTTTTTTTTTTTACCTTCTCTCTCAGGTGGAAGATGCACTGGAATCTCCATATTTGGAAATCTTTGAACACTATTAAAATAGAGCATCTTCTTATTTCTTCACTCGTCCTTACTGTGTTGTTTTTTGTTTTTTGTTTTTCCCCCTCACTGAAATGTTCTGATGCACAGTCCTTTGGACTTTCTCCGTCTTTGTTTTGATGGGCTGGCTTAGCAGAAATTTAATTATTCAGGATAACTGCATTGTATAATTATTTAAAACAAAAAGTCCTTGCAGAGCTTCAGAACAGACTGTATTTCATTTGCCTTTAGAAATACAGAAACGGACTGCTCATCTAATCTCATTTTTGGATACCTGGTAGTTAAGCTGTTGCGCAGCATGTATTTTCAGATGGGATTTGGTCTTTCTTAAGCACGATGAGAAGTAGACAAGTTTTCAAGAAGGTCTGGTGTAAGTAAAGCAGACCAGAAAACTACACCTGTTCTATAACGATTTTCCTAGTTTTGACATTTAACTTTGTTCTGCTTTGGCAGTGAGACAAAACCTGCAAAGTGTGTGTCTGTGAAACACAATGATAGGGAACATCTATCTTCAAATTGAAAATGTCATGTTGCTTATTCAAGTGGCTGCCTCAGTGTTTAGAAACAGCAAGAAAGTAAAAGTCTTCCTGCCGGGGCTGATGCTGCGTCTGCAAACCATTGTGGCTTCAGCGAAGCGTGTTTTGTCAAATGTGCTCTGTAAGGAAAAGTTCTGCCTCGCTGGTAACCTTGAGAGTTCTTGTAGGCTGAACGGCTTGGAAAAGTCTCTACAGCAGTCTATGAATTTGTAAGAGCTCACAGATTTGCCTTGCTGGTGGATGTTATACCAGGAGACTCTGGTTTTGTGTGGGTCAGATGGGGTATGTCGGTAGACCCACTTGAAAATATTGAATTAAGTAACTTAAGCAGGGGGTTGGTGGCAGAACTCGGTACGTGGGATGGGTGTTTGATTCCAACATGCCTGTTGTTGCCTGTTGTGTGTTGATGGTGAACTGCTAAAACCTGCAGACCACAAGCTGCAGAGATCAGACCTGGCCTGATGAGAGCCTCTGTTGGGCGATTGCTGGCTCCTGGGCTAATGTGGATGTTACAACCCAGCTTCATTTCCCCGCAGCATACTTCTGTGGCTGATCCCTTGCTGCAGACAGGTCAGACAGGGGGTTTGTAGCCCTGGTCCTGCCCAGGGAACAATTTTTGGCCCCCGATCTCTTTAGCCACAGAAGCAATGCAGAAGTCCAGCTGCCCTCTCCTGCATGCCACTGTGTGCTTGGACCCACGAGCTGCCGCAGCACCAGTGCGACCTGCGAGGGAGGTCCCCAGCCTGGCACAAACACTGACAAAGCCAGTCTCACCTAGTCCTGTTCTGTAGCACGCCTATCAATTATAGGTCGATCTGGATTAATTTGTCTAAGACACGTATGTTATGGATATCTGAGCTGTCTTAGGGCTGGTCCCTCCGGGCTTCCTTTAGAAACAGACACAGGGGGATAGCTCTCAACTTTTGAGCCTTACTAACATGAGGAGTAACATGCCGCTCAGGGGGTAGTGGGTTTTTGCTATGCCCACCGCTGTGGCAGTTAAACCCTTGTGTCTAAGAGGACTGAGCAAAACAAGCTCTGCTGTAAATATATGCTGGTCCTCAGCACCATGGTGCCCGTGCACCAGCATTCAAATCCTGAGCCGTGAAGCTGGTTTTAAGTGTGCTCTTCCCTCCCAGTCCAGCCTGGCCTTACCAGAGGTTGCTGGGGCCGGGGGACTACGTAGCTGTCTTCAGGGGGCAAGCTCTGAAACTGAGCCAGGGGTAAGGAACATCACCTCAAAAGTCAAAGTTTTGGCTGAACGAGATGAAACGAGGGAAGGCAGAGGAAGAAAAATGCAGCCTGAATGTTTAAACTGGGAGGGTACATCCAGCTGCAGGACCACCTGCACATGCCTGTTCCTGCTCTTATTTCTTCAGTCTCTCATGTCAGGCGCTTGTTGACATGCAGGTCTAGGCTAGAAGATGCTGTGCTGTGACTTCGGCCTCTTTGGGGATTAGGCTTTATTTGGGGTTTAAAACAGCTCTTAACCGCTGACCATCTTCAGCAGCAGCTATTGGCATTTTAAAAGTGGCTTCCTCCTTACACTAGGCCTGGCAGAAAGCAACAAGTGTTGCCCAAAGAAGCCTCTGACTCCTTGGAGCTACCTTAAATTCTCTGCTCTCTGCCATACCTGTCCTCCCTGGGTACCGTGCACAGAAAAAACCCACGATTCCCAAGCACCCTCCACCCCAAATCTGCAAAGCAGGATGCTTCTTACCTCGATTAACTGTCCCATGGCTGCTCTGGAGCAAGACAAGAAGAGGGAGGAACACCTCATCCAGGAGAGAGGATGCTGCAAGGGTGGATCCCACGCCATCTTCCTTTCCTGGTGCATCTCCAGCTTGCTCCGCTCTGCAGCCCGGGCAGGAGAGGCTATGAATAACGGAGCTCGCTGTCGGTAGTGTTCAGCATTTACCAGAAGCAGTCGCGTGCTGTCCCATCCCTTCTTTACTGCCTTGCTTTCTAGCCCAGCAGTCGCAGAGCTGACGCCGGGGAGTCATTAATTAATTAGACTGGTGTCACTTTCAGAGTGCTCTGCTGCTCCTCGGGCCAGGCTTCGCAGAGGGGGAGTGCAGGGAGCAGAGTCATGGTCAGAGCTCTCGCTGCTCCCTGGAGAGGAAAGCTTATTTTGACCCTGTTCTTTCTTTACAGCTGCCTGACTGGTTGCAGCTCTCTTGCTCTTGTTTTTCTCCTGGCCTTTTGAGAGGAGCCTCTCCCCTAATGAAAAAGGGCTGTAAGCCAAGCGGATGCATCATCAGCATCGTTGCTACCCTATGCTTGCAGAGGCCAGCGTTACTGGAGATGAGTATTTGATGCCTGGGGAATTTATACGCATCTTTCATCCCTGAAAGATCTTGTAGATGTGTGGCTACGGTCTGCAACTTCGTTTAGTCTTGAGCTCCGGATAGAGCTGAAGGCAACAGGAAAGAGCACCTGCAAGGGAGGCTGTAGCTGCTAAGACTGCAGGGCTGCTTTAGGGCTGCTCGGGGCTGCTCGTGGCCTGTGGAGCAACCTGCAGAGGTGGTGAAGAACATTGTTGGAATGCGATGGTTAGAGAAAGCGAGCCTCAAGTGGGTGTGAGGGACTGTGGGACTATCAGCTGAACTGTTCTCCGGCCAAAAAGCAAATGAAGCCTTCCACCACAGGGTCAGGAGGAGGCCTCTCTGCTAGATAAAAAAAAAAAAAAAAAAAAAAAAGCAAATGAAGCCTTCCACCACAGGGTCAGGAGGAGGCCTCTCTGCTAGATAAAAAAAAAAAAAAAAAAAAAAAAAAAAAAAATTAATAACCTTAGGATAGAGAAGACCAAGCCCAGATGAACGCCCTGAGCACCTGGCTATAAGCTTTTCAGCTGAGGCTTTCTTCTTTCCAGTAGAAAATTCTCATGCTGAGGCTGAGAAGCTTTTCCTAACACAGGGCATCCTGTTACAAAAGGTTTCTCCAGAAGCATTCAGTTTTGATGGGTTTTACTGTCACAGTTTGGGTGGGGTGGGGTGCAAATGGAGCTGATTCAATTCAAGTACCAGGCACTAGAAGGGCTAGTGTTCTGGTCAAACGCCAGCATGGGCAAGTCAGAGCTGCTAACTTAAGCGTTTAAGTGTTGGGGTTTGTTTTTTCTTCTTCGTTTTACTATATTGGGATATTTGTTCTCAAAGAGCAGGTTCTGAGTCCAGTCACTAGTAAGTCAACAGGAATCATAAAACTGTTTTAAAATAACTCTCCAGCCTTCTTGGCTATGGGCAGCATAAAGCCCTGGCATCATCTCCACCTCTGTGCTAAGAATTCGAAAGAAATCAAAGATCCAAAGTTTATTTGCTTTTTAAATGGCGTGATTTGGCTCATACAAGGCCTTACAGAAGGCTTCTTATTGTATTTTGTAATAATTGAGGTAACTATATTGTCCCTATAAAAAAATAGGGTTTTTTGCAGTGTTCTTTACTGGGAGAAGCCTGAGATTTTAGGCAAGAGAACAAAGAATGAGCTCGAGGAGGAAGCTGAGCTCTTCATGCCACTTCTGCTAATGTGTTCCAGTACTTCAGAATAACTAGGTATAACTTAAGGAAAAATAGCTCCATAGTAAATTAATCTTCTATGCTCTCAAACGGGCAGGCCAGCCCTAAGGTCTGCATTACTGATTAGATCCTGAAGATTAGAGGAAGGTGGCACTAGGCCAGCGTGTGGCTTGCACGGGAGGGAAAGCAGCTGTGCCCTTCTGTGTTGCATTTGCACTCTCTGCAGATTTATACGGCGACGGCTAGCTGCTGCGTTTCCCTACGTGAGACAGAGGGGAAGTATGCGCTGGGGAAAATGCGTGTCAGAACCGGGCGCTGCAGGAACGGGTGGGTGCTGTGTTGCCTCCGTGCGAAGCGACAGGCGGTGGCAGTGTGGCCGCAGGGAAGTCGTGTGTCTGCCGTGGAAGCTGTGTGCTTCGGTCTTCTCCTTTTTCTGGACGCCATCCTGGGAAGCATGCTCTAGAGGACCCTGCTGGAGCAGGGGGGTCGGACTAGATGATCTCCAGAGGTCCCTTCCAACCTCAACCACTCTGTGATTCTGTGCCCTGCCAAGGTCCCGTTTGGGTGTTGGGAGATCCCGAGAGGTGGTACAGTTAGCTGGTCTTGATGTTTTCCAGTATGACTTCTTATGGAAAG